TGATCACAGATTTTATAACAACTAATTTAGCTTTGCTTAAGAGGATGGTACAATTTGCCATGTTAGAGCTAGGGACACAGGAGGTCAGTAAATAAAGACCATGTATTTTAGAGTTTAATATGTATATACACAGAATATGTGTGTGTGTTTGTGTGTGTATATGTATATAAAATTAGAAGAAATATAGTGACATTTATTTTGGATAATACCTGTCTTCGTAACAGACAACTTTTGGCTAGACATTTTAACTGCCTATTGCTTTATAGACTCAATTTGAAAAGGAAGGAGACTTCTTCTGAATCTATTTCTCCATCTAGAAAAGGAATGACTTCACATGGAGAAACAAAACGCGTTCTAGGTAAATATCCTTCTTACGTTAAGTTCAGCGTAAAACACAGCTGTTGGTCCTGTTTCCAGGCAATTGCTTTCTGACTTTAAATTGGAAAAAGAACATAATACACTGGAAGGAGTGTGGCCTTCGAAGTAAAAAAAAAAATTTCCTATGAAACTTTGAGTCCACTCTTTCTCTTTTCTGAACCTCATTTTTTTTCCCCTGTAAAATGAGACAAATATCCAGGAGGCAGAGCTTGCAGTGAGCCGAGATCGCGCCACTGCACTCCAGCCTAGGAGACAGAGCGAGACTCCATCTCAAAAAAAAAAAAGATGAAATAAAATGAGACAAATAATTTCTACTTCTTTCTGTCACTGTTTAAAGTATTACAGATTATACATATGGCCTCTAGAACATAATTGGCACTCAATAAATGGAAGCTCAAATAATTTGTTTTTGTGTTAACCTTTGGCAAGCATTATTAATATGATATAATTAATTAACTAAAATTTTACACTAAAGGAAAAAATACTTTGATAGAAAATCCAATAAAGCAAATACTATGGAATCTGTTTTAGTTAAAACACAAGTATGAGATTGATCCCCGAAATTCTGGTGGGTAATCTTCAGTGGCCAGAGCAGAGACTGAGAAATCATTGCAAAATGGAGAGGTATTAATGATTCAATGTGTCAAATGTTCAAAGCTGACAGATACTAAGGTCAAAAGACCTGTTTAAAACACCTGTATAAAAAGGCTGCCCCGGCCGGGCGTGGTGGATCACGCCTGTAATCCCAGCACTTTGCGAGGCTGAGGCGGGCAGATCATGAGGTCAGAAGATCGAGACCACCCTGGCCAACACAGTGAAACCCAAAAATACAAAAAGAAAGTAGCCAGGCGTGGTGGTGGATGCCTGTAGTCCCAGCTAGTTGGAGGCTGAGGCAGGAGAATGGGGTGAACCCAGGAGGCGGAGCTTGCAGTGAGCCAAGATCATGCCACTGCACTCCAGCCTGGGCGACACAGCGAGACTCCGTCTCAAAAAAAAAAGAAAGGCTGCGCCTGGGTCTGAAAACATCCTAGAAGTACTATAAGTAACTGTCATTAGACGAATACATTCACACAAAGCCTGTAGAAAAAGATTTTTTATGTATTCATATAGAAACATTTCCAGAATATATTAAGTGAAGAAAATAAAAAGAAACGGATTCAGTCAATAATGTAGTCACTTGTACTAAAAAAAAAAAAAAAAAAAAAAGAAGAAGAAGAAGAAGGCGTCTAATTAAAGACACAGGGGGAGGGGGAACACTTGTTGGAAGAAGAAAAAAAACAGAAAAGAAAAGTGGGCGGGGAGTGGGTGCAAAAGAATGAATGCAAGTTTCAGTTAGTACAAAGGGGGGTTATTTCTCGAGACCTGTAAGAAGAATGCCATTCTTGTATGAATTAACTAGCCTGAATGCTTTAAAGGAGAAAATCGAGGTGGAGAAAAGAAAGAGGTACAATGGTGAAAGATACAAGATACCACAATCCCTACATTCCCCTGGGAATCTTTCCTGCTGCTAAGAGAACTGTTCCCTACGTATATTTCCCCCTATACCTACTGTGGACTTGTGGGCATGTCTACCTTTCTGTAGAGCCATCCCTGAAAGAAGGCTTGAAGAGTAAGTAATACTCATGCCCAAATCCAACCTGGCCAGCAACCTGGGCATGACTATCAAAGACATGTGTACACTGAGATGAAAAATTATAGGAAAAGGAAGGAAAATTAACCTTACTAATCAGATCTTTCAAATAATCCTCTATTAAATTACCTAATTTCGTGACTGAGAAATATTAGCAAATATTAATGAATTCTATGTGGAAAATCTTGTTTAAATGTATGTGTGCATTTGTGTATCTGTGTAGTTGGTATTCTACTCCTTAATGTCAACTTTTGCGTAAAATAAATTGTTAAAAAGCTTTAGATGACTTAATTCTTTATAAAAACCTTCCAGTGAGGTACTATGTATAATTTACGTGTACATCTTTGTGTATATTTCTGTGAAGTATTCTGGAATCTCTATGTTTATGCACATGCATACAAAGAAAATCCTTTTTTCTGAGCTAACATGTGATATTAACTGTTATATTGTTAACCTACTGGTTTTAAAAGTATTTCATGGAAACTCCCCTAAATAAAGGCTCTTTTAAGTTGATCAAACAAATCTCAGAAACTAAACCTGAAAGTTCCTGCTATGTCAACTCAAGTAATATTTCATTTGTGAAAAGATTTACATGGGTGATTCAATTTATTAACATTTATAAGGGACACAAACTCATTTAAATATACAGTCAACTCACCATGGGCAATGATGATCCATCTTCAAAATACATCTAAAAAACAAAGCAAAACACAAAACCCAATACCCCATGAAATTTTAATCATATTACATTACAAAAATATAAATTATGGTTAGTTCAAAGAGCTGCGGCAGGCAAAATACTGCAAAATTATTTACTTATCTAAAAATTGGATAATAGCAGAAGTTCTCATCTAAAATAAACACTATAGCCAATTCTTATAATAAGGTAACTTGAATTTGAAATATACATGCTTAAGATGCAAAGCAACTCATTTTCTAAAAACAATATAATGTATTAATATACAACTATCTTATGCTAAAGAAAGAACAAAACTGCAATGGATTTACAGAAAGTCTGGATAAAACTTCTCCTTCAATATCAATCCTGATGCCAAGTCATACTGTTCTTGGAGTATATTAAATATATAACAACATCTGACTGTCATGAAGTCAACTGAGTTATCTTTTTAAAAATGGAAAACACTAGAAGTATTTCCTAAATTGAACTAGCCAAGTCAGAACTGCTAAAAATCACATACTTCAGGGCACCGTGAATCTGGGGGCAAATTGACACTTGACTGTGGCCTCAGGCCTCACTGGCATGAATGCCAGCGGGTTATCCCAACTGTATTTCCTAAATCAAGGGCTGAGAAGCCAGAATATGGAGACGATAATCAGGAAAACAGTGAGAAAAGAAACATAACGAAGAAAAAGACCACCAGCATGTAGATATTTTAGAAGTTAAAGGTTCTCTTACTTATCACAGACGGAGCAGTGATGGCAGCGATCTGGTTTTATAAGTTGGCATCTGTCACAGTATCGGATGGCTAGGGACAAAAAGCTCCACTTAGTCTTAGAGTTAACACTGAATTGAATATACAATTAAATGGCTTTATCATCTCTTCAAATTTAAATTTTAAAAAGCATATAAAATTTAAATCTGGTAAAAAATAAGATATCTGATGCTGTTTAAATACAAAAATGGAATGACTTGCCTACAGCCACAGTTCTCTGGAGGTTTAACAAGAACAGAGAATCTCCTAAGGAAATTTTTCTGATGTTTTTTCAATTGTCAGTAGTTATAATAAGTGAGTCAGAAGCAAATATAAGTATTATAAAAATCTTTTTTTTTTGAGATGGAGTCTCACTGTCGCCCATGCTGGAGTGCAGCGGTGTCATCTCAGCTCACTGCAGCCTCTGCCTCCTGGGTTCAAGCAATTCTCCCACCTCAGCCTCCTGAGCTGAGTAGCTGGGACTACAGGTGTGCACCACCATGCCCAAGCTAATTTTTTTGTATTTTTAGTAGAGATGGGGTTTCACCATGTTGGTCAGGCTGGTCTTGAACTCCTGACCTCAGGTGATCCACCTGCCTCAGCCTCCCACAGTGCTGGGATTACAGGTATATGAGTCACCACACAGAGTCACAAATCTTAATGAGTTTTTCTTTCTTTCTTTCTTTTTTACATTTTTATTTATTTTATTTTTTAGGGACAGGGTCTCACTCTGTCACCCAGGCAGCAGTGCAGTGGTGCAATCACAGCTCATTGCAACTTCTAACTCCTGGGCTCAAGCAATCCTCCACCTCAGGCTCCCAAGTTGCTGGGATTATAGGTACAAGCCACTGTATCTGTCCATTAAAGAGATATTTTATATATTTTTTTCATAGTAAGTCTTTGAAACCAGTGTGTATTTTATACTTAGAGCACATCTCAATTTGAACTGGCCATATTTTAAGTGCTCAGCAGCCACATGGGGCTAGCAGCTACCATAATGGGCAGCACAGGTCTGAAGCCACAGAAGTTCTGGGCAAGTCTTGGTGGGTAAGCATCACTAGTCCATGGACATCAGTTGTAAGACAATTATTTAATTGGATAGTTGTCAAATTACCTTAAAGTATGTCCCAAGTAAGAGATTTGTTAATTTACTACATTTGTAAGAAAATTTTAAAGAGAGATAAAAAATTATACCAATACCTAAATGAAATTTTACATCACCTATATGACTGTTCTAAGTTTAAGAAAAAATACTTGTAAAAGTATTCATTTTATATTCATTATAGACACTGCTGCCTTAAATTAAATATGTATAGGAAAGTCTACAATTAAAACCTGAAACATGAATACTACTATAAATCAAGATTTCAGCAGTTCTCACATCTTCACTGAGTCATAACTAAGTAGGCAGAACAGGATTAAAGTCAGTTCTGATTTCCTTGAGATCTCTTTGCCACAGTGTTATTCAGGTTTCCATTCTGTTTTATGGAATCATTCAGGAAAGATTTAACAGCAGTGCAAGAAACAACACAGTATTCTGAAATGAGTGTTTTACCATTTCAAGTATATAAACACATTTTCTTACAGTCACGTTAATGATGCTATTTGCATACCATTGCAAAGCACCCATTATTGACATTTACCTCCAGACATGGTCCTGGTATAGATGGGAAGATCCTTGGCTGCTCGCCTAAGAACTTCCTGATGGGCTTCTCCTCTTGGCTCTCTCTCCAACAATTCTTTCTCTGCATAAGAGAGATGGAACTGTGGAATACATTTAAATTTTAATCAGTATTTTCAAAGAAATAACATATTGGTCTTCTCTACCATACCCGGAAAAGGGTATTTATAAAATATTAATGGTATATTGTACATTCAAAGAGACAATAGAGTTTGAAATCTGGGCAAGTCTGTTCACCTTACAGGTCATTCACTTATGCATCTAGAAAAAGGGTATAATACTAGTAATCATAATACCATTATACCTACTTCCTCTGGTTTTTGTGTAACTCAAAAGGAACAGAGTACATAAAAATGCTTATAAACCGCAGAGTTCCAACAAAATATTAGTTATACTGATAGATAAAATGGCCCAATGAATAAATAAAACTCAGTGAATAAATTTTTCATTTAGATCATTAAGAACAAATGTAGAAAATCCATTAAGCATATTTTCTTATTTAAGTGAGTTTTAACCTAGAGATAATCCTTACATGAAATCTCCCACAGAACTTCTAAAGGGTCTAATTATTTATTTTACTTCTTATACTGACAATTTGGTCCGGCTAATTTTAAAATATTTGAGAAAAATAAAATTTGGGCTCCTGTTTAATAATATACATATAAATATATATCTTACACACACATACAGACACACACACACCTGTATAAATTTCTATAAATGTGCGTCAGGAGACATGTACAAGAAAAATCTAAGTATCATTGCTTGAAATATAAAAAAACTAAACACAACTCAAATGTCCATCAAAAGGATGATGGATAAACTGGGGTATGATATATTCAAATAATGGAATAGTACCGGCATTTAACAGTTAATAAACTATAGTTGTGTATAGCAAAGCAAAGAACCTCAATATAATGAACATTAAACAATCTTCCAGAACATATATACAATGATTCCATTCATCTAATTTTAAAACCAGCAAGCTAAAGAACATATACATTGTTGTTTAGAGATACATATACATGTGATAAAATTATAAAGAAAAAGGAATAGAAAATGCAGGATAGTTGTTACGTTTTGAGGAATAAAGGGAAACAGCTGACAGACGCACAGCAGAGATGGAAAATGTGAACAGTGTTTGACATACTGGCTCGGTGACTGCTTAGGTGTTTTCACCTGATTATTCTTTAAGAAGTGCATTATATATATGTTTTTGTATATATGCAATAATACGCATAAAATATTTTACAATTTAAAAAACTTTTAAAAAGTGATAAGTCAGTGAAATAATCTACTATAAAGACAGATGCACACGTACGTTTACTGCGGCACTATTCACAATAGCAAAGACTTGGAACCAAATGCCCATCAATAATAGACTGGATAAAGAACATGTGGCACATATATACCATGGAATACTATGCAGCCATAAAAAAGGATGAGTTAATGTCCTTTGCAGGGACATGGATGAAGCTGGAAGCCATCATTTTCAGCAAACTAACACAGGAACAGAAAACCAAACACCACATGTTCTCACTCATAAGTGGGAGTTGAACAATAAGAACACATGGACACCGGGAGGGGAACATCACACACCAGGGCCTGTCAGTGGTTAGGGGCCTAGGAGAGGGATAGAACTACGATAAATACCTAATGTAGACGATGGGTTGATGGGTGCAACAAACCACCATGGCAAACCTCCATGTTCTGCACATGTACCCCAGAACTTAAAGAATAATAAAAAATGCTAATAAGCCACTGATGGACTATTAAATTAAAAAAATGGGGAACAGGTACACTCTGAATATCAAAATAAAACTAGAAAGGTTTTTGACTGCAGTATCTGTATCACTGATAGCAGCTCTGGACCCGCCCAGGGCCTGAGGAAACTCTCCACCCTGAAGGGAAGGACACAAGCCTAACTGACTTTGCCACCTACTGACTGCAGAGCCCTTCAGCCTTGAGTGAACATAGATGGAGGAGCCAGGTAGTGGACACAGCGGGCCTTGGGCGAGACCCAATGCTATTCTGACTTTGGGTCTGACTGAGCACAGTCCCAGTGGTGTTGGCCACAGAGGTGCCATGTCACCCCTCCACCAGCTCCCGGCAGCTGAGCACAGAGAGAGAGAGAGGCTCTGTTTATTTAAAAGAATGTAAGGTAGAAGAACAAGAATCTCTGCCTGGTAATCCAGAGAATTCTTCCAAATCTTCTCCAAGACCACCAAGGCAGTACACATCTACCAGTCTGTAAGAACCACAGTATTACTGGGACTGGGGGACCTCCTAATGCAGATACAGCTTAGGTCACAACACCTAACCTGGAAAGCCTTCCCAAGGAGGAGAAATACTAAAATTTATATGGAATCACAAAAGACCCAGAACAGCCAAAACTATCCTGAGTAAAAAGAACAAAACTGGAAGATCACATTACCTGACTTCAAATTACACTACAGAGTTTAGTGTAAGGGAATAACCTAAATAGCATGGTACTGGCATAAGACTAGCATTTGTACAGAGTAACCAAAATAGCACGGTATTGGCATACATAGACCCATGGAAAAGAAGAGAGAACCCAGAAACAAATCCACACATCCACAGTAAACTCATTTTCAACAAAGCTGCCAAGAACACACACTGGGGAAAAGGCAGTCTCTTCAACAAGCGCCGCTGGGGAAACTAGATCTCCATATGTAGAAGAATGAAATGAGAGCCACCTCTCTTGCTCTACACAAAAATCAAAATGGATTAAAGACTTACATCTAAGACCTCAAATTACGAAACCAGTTAAAAGAAAATATTGGGGAAACTCTCCAACGCATTGGCGTGGGCAAGGATTTCTTGAGTCATATCCCACAAGCACAGGCAACCAAAGCAAAAGCGGACAAATGGGATCGCATCAAGTTAAAAGGCTTTTGTACAGCAAAGGAAACAATCAACCAAGTGAAAAGACAACCCACAGAATGGGAGAAAATACTTGTCAACTCTCCATCTGATAAAGGATTAATATCCAGAATGTATAAGGAGTTCAAACAACCCTATAGGAAAAAATCTAATAGTCCAATTTACAAATGAGCAAAAGATCTGAATAGACATTTCTCAAAAGAAGACACACAGAGGGCAAACAGGTAATACGAAAATATGCTCAACATCCATGGCCATCAGAGAAATGCAAATCGGAACTACAATGAGATATCGCAACCCAGTTAAAATAGCTTTTATCCAAAAGACAGGGAAAGGGGAGGTGCAGCGGCTCATGCCTATAATTGCAGCACTTTGGGAGGCCAAGGCGGGAGGATCATTTGAGCCCAGGAGTTTGAGGCCAGCCTAGGCAACATAGCAAAATCTCGTCTCTACAAAAAATAAAAAAAAAATTAGATAGGCGTGGTGATGTATGCCTATAGTCACAGCTACTCAGGGGGCTGAGGCGGGACTATTGCTCGAACCCAGGAAGTCAAAGCTGCAGTGAGCTGTGATTGCAGCACTGCACTCCAGCCTGGACAAAAGAGCAAGACTTTGTCTCAAAAAATAACAATAAAATAAAATAAAGGCAATAACGAATGCTGGTGAGGTAGTGGAGAAAAGGGAACCCTTGTATACTGTTGGTGGCAATGTAAATTAGAACTACTACAATGGGTTTCTCAAAAAGCCAAAAATAGAGCTACCATATGACCCAGCAATCCTACTGTTAGTGTATACCTAAAAGAAAGGAAACAAGTATGTTAAGAGATAATCTGCACACCCATGTTGATTGTAGCACTATTCCCAATAGCCAAGATTTGAAAGGAACCTCAGTGTCCATCAATGGATGAATGGATAATGAAAATGTGGTGTTCACTTACACAATGGAATACATTCAGTCACAAAAAAAGAATGAGATCCCATCATTTGCAACAACATGAATGGAACTCGAGGTCATTACGTTAAGTAAAATAAGCAGGGCAGAGAAATACAAACTTAGCATGTTCTCACTTACTTGTGGGAGCTAAAAATAAAAACAACTAAACTCATAGAGATAGAGAATAAAAGGATGGCAACCAGAGGCTGGGAAGGGTAGTGAGGAACTGGGACAGAAGTGGAGATGGTTAATGGTACAAAAACCAAAAAAGTTAGAAAGAATGAATAAGGCTAGGCACAGAGGCTCACACCTGTAATCCCAGCACTTTGGGAGGCCGAGGCCAGCGGATCATTTGACGTAAGGAGTTCGAGACCAGCCTGGTCAACATGGCGAAACCCCATCTCTATTAAAAATACAAAAATTAGGGCCAGGCGCCATGGTTCATGCCAGTAATCCCAGCACTTTGGGAGGCTGAGGTGGGCAGATCACACGGTCAGGAGTTTGAGACCAGCCTAGCCAACATGGTGAAACTTCGTCTCTACTAAAATACTAAAAATACAAAAGTTAGCCGGGCGTGGTGACATACACCTGTAATCCCAGCTACTCGGGAGGCTGAGGCAAGAGAATCGCTTGAAACTGGAAGGCGGAGGTTGCAGTGAGCTGAGATTGTGCCACTGCACTCCAGCCTGGGTGACAGAGTGAAATTCCATCTCAAAAAAAAAAAAAAAAAAGAATGAATAAGACCTAGAATTTGATAGCACAATAGGGTGGCTACAGTCAATAATAATTTAATTGTACTTTTTAAAATAACTGAGTATAATGGGATTTGTTGTAACACAAAATATAAATGCTTGTGGTGATCGATACCCCATTTACCCTGATGTGATTATTACACATTGCATGACTGTATCAAAATACCTCATGTACCCCATAAATATATATACCTATTAGGTACTCACGATTTTTTTTTAACTACAAAGAAATTTAGAATGTAAAGTGCTTGAATTGGTGTAATGGATTGTTCTCTTTTTTTTCTTTTTGCCTAGTCTCTATTTTCAAAATATAATTTAGTGCAGTTATATTACTTTTATATGGAGAAAACCTTACCAATGAAAAACTATTATCACTTTAACAATCTTGCTATGAAAAGGGCAAATTTTAATTCACATGTTCTAAGTTCAGGATCCTCATTTTACAAGCCAGAGGTCTCTAACAGCTGATCAATTAAAAGAATAGCCCAAGACCTTGCATTTTATAAAGGGAATATTCTAAGGTTCTTAACCACCAAACAAGGGCTCTTTCTTCCTAACAGTAGTCTCCAAACTCCTTTGATCATGTTCCCCTAACTGCAAAAAATTAAAAAATTATGTGAGATCACACTGCTAACAGATGAGTATTTATTGGTAATATTCTTTTTTTTCTTTTTGTTTTTTGAGATGGAGTCTCGATCTGTCGCCCAGGCTGGAGTGCAATGGTGCGATCTCAGCTCACTGCAACCTCCGCCTCCCAGGTTCGTGTATTGGTATATACTTTATCAGCTAATATCTTATGTACCTCATATACAAAACTTTAAAAATACAAATATTAAATCATATGTACAAAAATTTTTGCTATATTTTCCCCCATGCTGCGACTGAAGTCCTGGGCACTCCCACCCCATGGTGCTTACTCTCCATACTAGAGCATGGTGTACTGGAAAGAAAGTGTCCCTGAGGGTTGAAAGGACTTTTGTTTGAAACTTAGCTCTCCCACACAGTAGCACTAGATACCTTAAGATAATTATTTCCTGCTCAAAGCCAATGGCTCCATCTGTAAAACAGTAAAAAATAATATCTATCTCACACAGTTGTATGAATAACGTATATCTTTTGTAGAAAAATCATGCAACAAAGCCTGATACTGTTATAATGTCACTGACTGTCATCAGTTTTGACTGTTCCTTCAATGCTGTGTTCTTTCTTCCGTGTTTGTTTCATTTCCTTTTGACACTCTGTCCAATCCACTATTTCAAACCTTCTCTACTCTCCCAACCCTTAATTAACCCACTTACCTCTTCATTGTTAGCCAATGATGTCATATATAATGTTAGAGAGAAGTTAGAAGTCACTTCAACTTCCTGCCAAAGCCATAAAAATAAACCTGCCTCTGTATGCATAACTTCTTCCCCACTTTCAGTCACTTAAAAAATATCTCCTGAGTACCTTCTGCAGGTCAGACACTGCTTTAGGCCCCGGTGATGAAGCAGTGAACAAAGATGAATTTCACGCCCTCATGGAACTTACATTCTAGTGATGGTGTATTTTTAAAAGTATTCAACAAATAAATATGGAGCGTGTTGCATGATGGTAAATGGTAAGGAGAAAAATCCAGGAAGGTAAGGTGCAGGGAATGCCGGGGGTTGGGGGGTTGCTATTCTATGCTGAGTCATCACAGATAGCCTCAATGATAAGGTATCATTTGTAAAAAGACATCCAAAAAGTGAGAGATTTGCCTTGTCTTTTGAAAGGATACTTTGGCTACTGTGTTGAAAATACACAAGAGGAGGCCAAAAACAAAAACAAAAACAGAAACAAAAACCTGTTAAGAGGCTACTGCAAATGTATAAACGAGAGAGGACGGTGGCTTGGACCAGGGTGGGAGCAGGGAGTAGTGCGGGACATGAGTTCACACTGTGGCCATACCCTGAGGGTGACGGTATAGAATTTTCTGATTGACTAGATGTGGCGTCTGAGAGAAAAAACATAGCCAAGGATGACACCAATGTTTCAGGCCTGAACAGAAGAGTGAAATCGTCATTACTGAGATAAGAAAACTTTAGGACTAGGAGCACTGGGGAATTAAACGAGAAATGAGAAGTTTGTTTTCAGTTTTGTTGACCCTGAAATTTCTATTAGATGTCAAAATAGGTAGCTGGAAATGTGTCAGGTGTTTATTAGCAAGCACCAGGCTAATATATTAATCTGAGAGCTGCAGTACTGGGGTGACACAGTAAGTCAGAGAAATAAATGAAATCTACAAGGGAATAAATGCAGGTATATAAGAAAAGAGGTCCAGGGATTAAGCTCTGGAACACTCCCATGCTTTGGCAGTCTAGGAGCTGAAGAGGAACCAGCAAAGGAGACCAAGAAGGAGCTGCCAGTAGGAATGGAAAAAAAATGTATTATTTCAGTGAGAAAGGGGTAAGAATATTTTGGAAAGGAAATAATGCCATGTTGTACACAGGAAACTATGTGCAGTTAAGAACTACTAGAGTATAAAGTGGAAAGTCAGAAACTGAGATAAGAGCTGCTATTGCTAGGCAGGAGAGACTGAGCTTTCCCCTGTGGGATATGTGGAATCGCAATAGACACAAGCAGTAAAGGGAAGGCGGTACATCAGTTTTCAGGTGGACCACTCCAGCTTCAGGGTATTGGATGAAGTTATGCGGGGTTCTGGTGAGGAAAGGTAGGCAAGGCTGTAAACAGAAAACCTTAAGATAGTTTTCCAGTATAACCAGACAAACATGGCCAAAAGTAGATGACAGGCCATCAGGCACACAACTAAAACGAGAGAAACATAATTATCATTATAATATGCAAATACAGACTAAAATTACGGTATTCACAAACGATCTGCTTGTTTTAAAATAACCAAATTACCAGGAGAAGAATACAATGTCTCAGACAAGGGAGACGATGAAGACCCAGAATTAGAGCAGTGATAAACTGACCATTAACTGACACAAGCAAGAGATGAGTCACACTCTGGGGAAGGAGAAGGTGATGACTCCTGTTTTTGATGTTTTGTATTTGAGGTGTCAGTGGAATTATTAAGAAGCTATGCTTAGCAGGGGGATACATAAGTTTGAAATTTAAGGGGGAGTCTAGAACTCAAAATGATTTGGGAGTTATCAGTAGGGAAGTTGTATGTAAACTACCAGAGTGGATGAGATTACCTATGATAGAAGTCAGTATTTTTTTTCCAGCCTACTACTAAGGACAGGATGAAGGTAAGAGAGATGATGGAAAAGAAGCAAATACGGTAGGAGGAAAGAAAAAAAACAGACTGGGAAAGAAAAAGAAGTGGAGAATAGAAGAAAAACAGGCGATAGATAGATAGAGCATTCTAAGCCAGGCATATCATTCATTCCGTGCAAATATCTGTGGTTTTTATTATCCTCTCCCAAAACAAATAGCATATTTATTGGCTTTTTTTGACCAAAGTTTCATTTCAAACTGATTACTTCAGGAAACTGTCTACAGTGATGCTTTTTTTTTTTTTTTCCTTTTTACCTTGGCTTACTAAAACTACACCGATACCACCGTTAGCAAAGTATATTTTTATTCAACAATGTACTGGGCTATCTGCCAAGGATACAAAAAATTAGTGAGACACAATTCTTTGCCCCAAGAATGTTTAGCCAGGATGAATGATCCACAGACAGACAGAATGATCTTTTCAACATGTAAATCTGATCCTTCACTCTACTTAAAACCCTCTGAAGCAGAGATTGCTAGCTGTCTCTCCTTGACCAGCTTTCTCTTCTTCTCTCATGTTTAACATGGCCATCGAGAAGAAAGTCTGCACTCCCATCTTCTGTGTGGGTAGATGTGGCCATAAAACTAACTTCTAAATGTAAGCGGAAATGACATCAGGAACGTCTAGAAAGTGTTCTTGAAGAGGACATTTACTTCTCCTCTTTCCTACTTTCTTTAGTCTGCTGGCTGCAATGTAGATGTGATGGTTGGAACTGCAGCATCCGTCTTAGACCAAGAGGGGGCCTTGGAAATGGAGGCTACACGTGGCAGAGAAACAAGACAGAGGGAGTGTGGGCACCTGGAAGCTGTGGACTAGCTACGGACTTTTTCAATGCAGAGAAGACTAACTAAGCCATTATTTTGTTGTTATTGTTGTTTCTGGTGGCTAAGAACCAACTAATACACCTTTAATATGATAATTATCACAGAATTATGTCTACCTTCCAGCTCTATTTTATTATCTATCTTTGTCTACCTATCCATCCATCCTGATGTATGACTGTAAAGCGGAAATGGAATTCATAACAGATTTAATACAGAAAATGCAGTGCTCATCGGGTGAAAAATAGTATTTCCAAGTGAAAATTCAAGTATTTATTAAGACATATTAATTTTTTAATCTAAAAAGTCACTACACTCAATAAGTTTGCAACATTAAAAATAAAATTCATTCTTCAATAATACATCAGTATTACTGATTTCTATCTTTAGAATAATTGTGTTAATATTTTAACTTACTTCTTTTGAAGGATTCATTGGTAATGTGAAGATAGTTTTCCAGTATGACCAGACAAACATTCCAAAAAGTAGATGATAGGCCATCAGGCACACAACTAAAATGAGAGAAACATAATTATCATTATAATATGCAAATAAGACTAAAATTATGGTATTCACAAAAGATCTGCTTGTTTTAAAATAACCAAATTACCAATTATAATAAATTATGAAAGTTCCTTTACTTCATACTAGAATAAACACAACTCAACGATTTCCAAAGCCAAGAGTTTTTAAAAAAAATTCCTAAATGCATAATGAGATCTATGCCCATGAATAAAAGCCTCCCATCTGTAGACAGACCATCTATTGGCAAAATCACTGACAAGGACCTTTTCTAAATTGTAAAAATAAGGCAGTTACGCCTGCAACTTTAATTAGCAAACACTGCATTAAAAACAAGTGTTAAAGCACTCAGGCTTTAAGAACTTTGCTTTAATGACATAGATAACAAAGGCAGTTCCTACTTGAGAAGCTGTTTGCTTATTTCCTTGGCTCTAGTCAAAGCTGGTGTAATGATAACATATTTAAACGGAGAACCTCTGGATAAGTGGGAGTTCAAGTGTCTTATTTATCACACGGGACTATTGTTTTGAAAAAGTGTTCTGAATACTTTTTTCAGTAATGCATATAAACACATTCTGGGTGGTGTTAGAAAGTCTTCAAATACTATGCAAAATTTTCTTTTCTTTTCTGTCCTTTTTTTTTTGAGACAGGGTCTCACTCTGTTGCCCAGGCTGGAGAGCACCCTGGGGCTCAAGCAATCCTCCTACCTCAGCCTCCTGAGTGGCTGGAATTACAGGTATGCTCCATCACACCTGGCTACTTTTTGTATTTTTCTTTTTTTTTTTTTTTTTAAGTAGCGACAGGGGTTTACCATGTTGGCCAGGCTGGTCTTGAACTCCTGACCTCAAATGATCTGCCCGCTTTGGCCTCTGAAAGTGTTGACATTACAGGTGTGAGCCACTGTGCCCAGCCCAAATTTTAAATATTAATTTTGTATATGGTGATAATGATTCCTTCTGGGTAATACATTAATACACAATTCTGTAAGGTATCATTGAACAAAATATGCGAATTTAAATATAGCATATTTGGCATTTTAAAACTTTAATAGCAATTTTTAATTTTTCTAAAGAATGATACTTACAGAATCATTAAAAATTTGAATTATTCAATAAGGCACTTAAATCAGTGTGACATGACTAAAGCCCATGATATTTTTCATAAATTATGTAGGTGACTCAGTTACAAGTTAATAGTCCAAATTAGGAAAGGAAATTGTTGATATCCCTATACCTCAAAGCCTTAAGAATCTCTGGCACAATGACAGCCATTTCAGGATAGAATTTGCCAAGTGTCTGACAGAATTCAATCTGCAAACTTAAGAGAAATGAGATATCTTTAACTCTAGCTAGTCTTCACATTCTCAAAGAATAATTTATTAATCCCAACCAAATCTAAGTGAATACAATTGTTTCTTTCAAATTATTTAAAAAATCTATAACATTAATGTCATCTAGCTTACCTTGTTCACCAGTGTTTTCCATGGACACTGGAAATAGAAAAAAAGGTAATAGGTTATATGAAGCTTAGGCAAACAGGGCTTGACACAGACATAAGGCATTTAACTAGCTTAATAATTTGGCTTCCCTTCAAACCAACATTCTCTAAACATTTACTCAATTTTATTTGGAGGAGAGGTGAGCACAGATTGGAGAGAGGGTGGAGGAAAAGGCTGGAGGCCGCAATCAGCCATGCCTCCATTGCACACTTCAGCCCTGGCTCCTGTGCTGCGGAACAAAACTTGTCAAGTGTGCCCCTTGGGGGTCTTTCTTCTGTATCATTTGGTTGATTGGTTTTCCTTCCAACCATAGAGTTCAGATAAAAGTAGTGCTCTCCAGGTCATTACATTTCCACAGGCATTTATTGCTCTTGATACATTGGCAACCACCTGGTGAGCTTTCCACAAAGAGTAAAATGTTGTGTTCACAGCAGATACTCTTTTTTCCCCTCTAATTTCTAAAAGTACAAATGCTTATGCACAGTGACTTTACGTGCTCCCTATTGCACAATGAGAGGCCAGGCAGTGCTGGGAAACTGCCGTTCCTCAGGGGTTGTTGTAAATATTCCGAGCTAGCAGGTATTATGGATTAGGACAGGGGCCACAAGTGCTAAAGCAAGCTGCAACAAGAAGCTGTATTTAGTAATCGCGACATTTGTATGCCTTTTGTATTGTCTATGTGTTTTCCCATTTGGTCTCTCTCTTTGTACAAGAGTCTTTGGAAGTTTTGCCCTATCTCAGCTGTACCAAGTCTGACTCTGTATATTTTTGTCCTTATTCAGCTTTCAAAATGGCACAGGATCTCAGGACTTGGTGCTGGAATGAAATGCCACCGCCTTCTGAAGTCTGGAACCAGAGGGTAGTGTGAGAAGTTTTGAAGATTGCACAGTCCAACCAATCTCCTGCCCAAGACAGCTATTGAATATAAGTTCAGGCATTTCTAGAGCTAGCAGGAGCCTGTAGTTTTTTGGAGGGCAGCCCGTTCCATTATTGGATTGCCCTAAGAATAAGAAAATTCATCCTTCCAGTGTGTTGAAATTTGCTGCTTTGTGACTTTTTCCTGTGATATCAAGGCTTCCCAACCATAGCAATAAACAGAAAATCTAAATGACAAATCTTCACATACTTGACGTTATTGTGTCCCCCTTAAACGTTCTAGTTTAAACCAACTAATATATGGTTTCCAGATCTCTTACCAACCTAGATGTGGCATCTGTAAATGCTTCCTAGCTTCTCCACCCCCTTTAACATTTCTGATCTCCAGCATGAGACAGGCAGGCGTGGATGATCTTTGACTCATGAATGGCCTGTTCTACAAGTCCGCTTGTAAATCAGAGGCTAGTCAGAGTTTCCTTTCCCATCGAATCCCTGAAGCGGCTCAGCTGAGGGCACAGGAAAGGCTTGAGGCAAGCCTGTTTTTTAATATCTGAACCTACCGCCACAGCTATGCATTTCCCTCTAGACACGGACTACCCTGTTTTCAAAAGCGCTCCAAAATTGACAACTCTTTTCTGGATCAAAATTTCCAATCCTTCAGGGGAGCTAATCCAAGGAAAGGAAAAGTAATTTGACTCCATTTGTGCATTTATATACAAACAAACCTTATTAACCATTCCAGAGGTGCTGGTGCTTTCATAAAAATGTGTTTGCTACTCCACTGACTCGAGTTGAGAGAACTGAAAACTGTAAAACAAAATGACATTTTAAAAAAGGTATAGTTGGGGGCTGCGCACAGTGGCTCCCACCTGTAATCCCAGCATTTTGGGAGGCCAAGGCCAGCACATGGATCACCTGAGGTCAAGAGTTTGAGACCAGCCTGGCCAACATGGCAAAAACCCCATCTCTACTAAAAATAGAAAAAATTAGTCGGGTGTGGTGACATGCACCCGTAATCCCAGCTACTCAGAGGCTGAGGCAGGAGAATCACTTGAACCTGGGAGGCGAAGGTTGCAGTGAGCCAACATTGCACCACTGCAATCCAGTCTGGGCGACAGAGCGAGACTCTGTCTCGGAAAAAAAACAGAAGAAAAGGTGTCGTTGGTATGAGCTGCTAATCTTTTTGACCTGGACCAATACTTTATTAGCTTGATATGCATTCAAAGACTTTGTTTTTAAAGTTGTTTTTTTTTTTTTTTTTTTTTTTTTGCTATTCATATCTTGCTTTTGCCTAAATGTAATTCAAAATCCACAGAAGTTCTATTTGTAAAAAAGTACACAACTTATACATAAATACATGCTTATAGTAAATAATTCTGTAACATTTGTAGAATGGAATGGAATAGTTCAAAAGGGTATATCCAATTACACTTTTGCCAAGATTATGAGCCTGTTCAATTTCCTGTAAACATAAGCCTGCTTGATATTTGTCAACATCACAGGCCAAAATAAAAATCATTATTTTAGCGTTCATTACCATTATTATTAGTGCAGTTTGGCATTATTTTTAAAATATGATGACTGGGATTTCCTTTCTCTTCTAAGTGAATGATTATTTTTCTGTTGGCTTACTTAGTTATTGAGAGCCTTTTATGTATTCTGGACAGAAATCTCGTATCTGTTACATATACTACAAATAAAGTTGCATATAGCTATTTTAAATGATTTAATAAGTACTAGCAACATTTTTATCACTTGCCACTGATTAAGTAACATTATCAAAGTTTGCAAATTAACTTATTTCATTAACAGATATATGGACTATACAAGGTTTTGCTTTGTGATACTCAGGAAATGAATGTTCTCTCAACCATGTTTACTTAGTCAGTAAATTAGTGATTTACCTTGTAATTTTCAGTTTAATGGCAGAGTTGTCAAGTTCAAAGTTTCCTTTCTCACAGTGAAAAAACACATACAAAGTTATTGTCAAATGCAAATATTTTTGTTCAAAAGTTACTGTTTAAGAAAAGATTGCTCAAATTTAGCCTTGAACACCTTTCTAATACATATGTATATAAAGATAATATATGAAAAATAGAGACTCATTTTTGAAACAATATAGATAGTAATCAAATATAATACATTTATTTATAACAATACAAAAACTAAATAGCAATACTGAATGTAATTGGGACAGATCTTCTAAAAATAACTATTGGTTTTAATGTGGATTCTGAGTTTTAATTCAGGATTATTTAATTTTCTTACTTCACAGACAGAATTTCAGTTTGGTTAACAGTGATGCTGATATCTATTCTCCAATTTTACCATGCAGAAATTTCAAGTGTTGCATAGCTTTCTTTATCCCATTTCCTTTAAACCACATATTGAGATAAATTAATAGTTATTTCAATTTTAGTCAACAGAAAAGTGAGGTTTACTCAGTTTTTACTAAAGCAAATGAGCTTTATTCTCAAAGTCACAATGAGTAGTACATTAATTCTACCTTAGAAATTCTTTTATTTTCAATTTAAACATTTCCTGCATGTCACAAATATGTTACAACTTCGAGCTCTGCTGGATATTAAAATTAATTCCTCTTTGAAGCACACAGCATCTGCCCCATAAATGTGAGTAAGAGACTGACTTAGACAAACAGACCACGACAACTAATCTGAATCACATAAAAGTGGTATATCAAAGCGGACATAGGAAAAGTTTTCATCTTTTATTTTCGTGGGCATGAGAAACTCAAGAGAAAAGTTATTTCCATTACCATGGAGCTTAGCACACTGTAGGACTCAACTCACAGTTGACAAAAGCGAAAGTAATCTCTTCCGTGAGGTGAAGAAAACGCCTCTCTAAAGAGACAGAGAGGGAGAAGACAAAATAGTTTCTGTCCCTTTTAAAAGGAAAAGGTTGAGGGAGATACTCGCTTCAACTGGGCTTCAAGCAACTTTGAAAACAGAAAGGGTCTGTAACTTTACAGGATTCCCTCCACCCCCACCTTGGTTTTGGCTCTTCCTCAGTACTGTACTTTTTTATAGTTGAATTTGTCAAATTGGAAAAGAGACTATTACTAAGCTAATAGCACCAAAGAGCAACGGCTCGGGATACAGAAGGCAAGGTCCAACCCTGCCTCTGCCACTTGCTTGCTCACACAAGCTATCCCACTTACTCCACTACAAAAGGAGGGTGATCGCCGCAGCAATAGCATTAGGGCTGCAGTGAGGATTCAAAGGGAAAATAAAAGAATGTACTTAACATAGTGCCTGGTGTATAGTAAGCCCCCATGAATGTACAATTATAATATATAATCTTTCATTTCGATAATATTAATGGTAATTATAACATATAGGAAAGGGGGCTAAAAAATGAAGAAAAATTACAAAGAGAAAAGTAATATTTGTACAGCCTCCTGAAATAAATAAATGCAAAATGTTGAATAAAAATAGACTTTGTGAGTGAACATAAGAGGTGAAAAATAATGTAAATCTGAATCATCTTATAAGTCAATTGCCTTTTTATATGGATGTGTCATTTCAGAAACTTGTTTAAACCAAAAAGGTGGTATTCATTCTTAACAAAGAGTAACGATGAGACATTAAAACTTCGATCTTCATGTGCCAGTTAGTCTTTTTGAGAATTTAAATGTGAAAAAATCTATTTTGGATAGGCACTGTTTAACTTAACGAATAAAAACAATTACTTTTAAAAAAAATAAAAATAAAAACCTAAATCTTATATTCAGCCCAAAGAAGTCAGGTGCAGTTTATTCCTGGGAATTAAGAGCACTGCTATTATTACACTAAAATATTTACCAATCCTACATCTGTGGATAGTATCAGTCACATCATCTAAATACACACAATCATAACACTGTGAATCACAATTTTAATTTTAATTTCAAACACTTATTTGCCTGATTTTATCTTGGATTAGCCTAATTTCTTTTTGGTCCATGTCCTACAATGATAATATTTTGCTTTAGCAATTTCTAATCTTCCAATATACCTCCAGAACTTCAAGTTCCTCTGTGATTAACTGTGGGAATTGCAGCATTTTCTTGGCCCTGATGGTATATAGGAAGAGAGAAAGTGAAAAAGGTAAATTACTA